TTACTTTCAATGCAACTGTTTTGAGAATCCATTAAAGCAGAACTAAACCCTCTTAACTTTTAGAAGCTGTCATGTTAACCTCTGTTTGATCTGCAACTGCCACGGTGCTGCATATGTGATCAGTTATGACACCAGACATTTGATGGTTTGACAGTTTGGTTGAGAGCACAAGCAACTGTGACAGTTAACATTCCTGGCATGCCGGGAATGTAACAGGTTTGGAACCATTAAATCAGTGGGTTTATTTCCACTTTTAATCAAAGGGTTTAGTTCCACTTTAAGTGGTTTGTCTCAACACTCTGATTGCCATTTTTGCAGGACAGTTAAAGTGAAATTACAGATTTACTGTCCAGATCACCAGGTGAAAATAAAGGGGAAAAAAGGAAAATGAATGCAGCAACAATCTAAGAATTGATAAGCTGCAATGTATTGCATTTTTGTTGTTGGGTTTAACACTGCTATAAATACTCTATTGTTAACCAAAATGTATTAATATCTGTATATGCACTGTATGGGTTACCTTACTGCCCACCTATTATTATATCTGCATAAAATGCCTGAAAAAATTGTAATGTTGTGGTTTATATGCAAACACGTAAAGTGTCATTACAAGAAAACCATCTAAAGTAATTGCAAAGACTAAATTTGTTGTATTCTCTATTAGTCCTCATGCACACTGGATGTTTTTACAGCTGTTGTTTTTGGCTTTTGACGTTTTTTCTACAGACAGTAAACTCCCCAGCATGTTATCCTATGTGTCCATGCACACATAAACTGTAATCAACTATTTTTGGCAGGGGCGTTTTATGGCTGGAAAAAAACCCCAAAACAAGTTGGTTTCTAGGGGAGTTTTTTAGCTGTAAAAATGCTCTAACGCTGCAGAATGCGGCAAACCAGCATTTTTGGACTTTTTTTTACCCAGAAAAAAACTGTTTTTTGGTTAAAAAAAAAAACTCTAAAAAAACACACAAATGCAAAAAACACAGCAAATACAACGCTAATGCAAAAACACTAAAAAAAGTTGAAAAACTCATGTTTTTAACGTGACTTTACACAGCTAACATTACCAGCGTTATTAAAACACCCAGTGTGCACGGAGCCTTAGTGATTGTAGTGTTACTGATTTTATAAATTGCTTTTCATTTTTTGTAGAACGATGATAACCTGAAACATCTAACAAATGAGGAGAAGAATGTCCTCCTGTTTTTTTAGAGGAAACTTTGGATGCTTTTGAAGATGACAGTGAGGAGCCACCCGTCTTAATCAGTTCAAGTTTTGGTTGTTATTCACCCAAATCGACAGAAGATAGTCACTCTGACAGTGATGATATAATTGACCTTGTGCAGACGGGGCCCAGTCATGGAGTTTTGTTAGGTATGGTACTGAATCACAGGTCGTTAACACAGAATGTTTTTCTGATGGACTTGAGTATCATTGTTCATGGACATATGGTTCACAGCCATATATCAGACATTATGAGGTTAATTTTTTTTTTTTTTAAGGATTTAATAATGTTCACTTTGCAATGTGACTGATAGCTTCATGAATATACACAATCATGTGAAAAGAGTGAACACTGGTTACTCTATTCACTAAGCTAAGTTAACATTAATTTTGCAAAGTGAAAATGTTCTACTGAGTTAGTAAGTTAAGTTCTAATTGTTTAGATTCGGTAAGAGTGAAACTGGCCATACAACCCTAAATTTCTCTCATTCATGCAGTGAGCTGAACAAAAGAAATCTACACTAAACAACAGGGATGAATAGATCTCCTGCCTTTATCTATTCCTCTGATACTGGAACAGTGAATTCATCTGACTGGATGCATTGGCTGTTCAGCTGACAGTTTCCTACCCACCTCCTGCAATTTTTCAATCAAAGGGTATTGGGCAGAGTGGTGCTGACAAGGCCACCCACTGATAAAATTTCAGTCAATTCTTTATGAACTTACAGAAATTTGCTGATTTTATGGCCAGCTTCAGCATACCCAAGCTGGAAGACTCAGGTTTGTGAATTCTCATTCACAAAGCCACCAAGAATGATTAAGCACATTCGCCAAGTCCTGAACAAGATTAATGCATAGTTATGACTCCTCACCAAAGCATAGTGACATACACTGATTGCAGTAGGGGCATCCAGTAAATAAACTCACTTTATGCCAATGTGTTAAACCTTTCCTAAAGATCACCACGCTGACTACAAATTCTATGTGGTAGTCTTTGATTCTGTGGAAACATTAGCTGGTGCTCCATAGCAACATAGTTTTATTACACCTTTACTTTGGGCATGATGGAATTAATATGATGATAATTGTTATCAATTTTAGGCCATTTTAACACCAAAACCTGTGGTACCTAGGCTTTGTAGACTTTATGCACTTATTTAAATAGTATTGTATGGTTGAGTAGGCACCAGTACAGATTATGTTTTTAACTTTTAGGCAAGCCATATATTATGCAGTTTTCTTTCCTTCAACCATGGGTTGAAGAAAAGAAAATTGCTGGATTCCCCCATCAACAACACAGTCAGTGTTGATGGGGGACTCCCTCCCACAATGTGATTGTGCTTTGCCATTGGGAAGAACAGGAAGCCTTCCCCACTAGCAGAATACAAAGACCACTGCTTGTGGCTATACCTGCCGGCCATGTTCAGGTGAAAAAAAAACCTGACAGGCTGGTTGTACTGAAGTCAATCGATGGATCAACTTCAGGACAGCCAGCCTGCCCATAACCAGATCCAAATGTGGCCAGTTCCTGCTGAACTGGCAGAGTTTTGATCCGTCTATGGCAGGCTTTAGCCACTTACACTTCAGTAACTATATACTTCTTATGGACCACAGCAGTTTCTACATTTCAGCTATTTGTTGCTGTAGCTAAAATATGCTAATTTTATTTTGTGTTTGGTCCTATTGTATAATAATAGAATTTCTGTATAATAATAATTTCTGGAACACAGCATAGCAGTGTTATTCATAAAGACTGCAGGTATACAAAAATAAACAGCTCAGATAAAAAAGGGTATATATGAATGGTTAAAAAATATATTTAAAAAAATAAAATGTTAGCCAAGGGGAGTAGGAGAGGAAGTAACATAAAGATGGTTGATTAGGGATAAATGAAGGGGAATAAGTAGTTAAAGTTGAACTGCACTGTATCTGAGCACCACAAACCAAAAATGCTATTTAATTCATTTGTGACATTCAGATCAAAGTCACCCATCCATCCATGTCTCCATGCTTTATTTTGCTGAGAAACCATTTTGAAAAATATTCCCTGGCATTTCTGGCAGTGGCCATCTTGAGTAAGGGCAAATGATTCATGTAGCATTTTACAGGCATTGGCTGAGCTGAGAACCCTCCCTTCCCGACTGCTGGGACGTATGACATAATTTGCCTTGGCCTGGAAACCAGGTAGTAACTGCAGAAATGTAGAAAAAAAATTAAGTAAATATAATATACTTTCCTGTCCATTTACTAATGATAGCAGTATAAGGATTAAAAATAGTCAATGTTGATTGATGTGCAGACCAGACAAAAGAATTATTTCACAAAGAACAATTAGTCTAAATACATTCTAACTAAAATACTTTCTTCAGGATTTGCCAATGAAGCTTACAAACCAAGTTTGCAAGCTTTATTTACACAGGAGCTGCTGTCTGCATTCTTGTAACGCAGAGCAGTTATTGGTTGTCAACCTAACAACCAGTCTCAGTGATTTTGTCAGATGCAGTGGTTTTGTTGAGGGGAGGAATCCCTGAGCACACAGCGCATGCCCAAGGTGTTTAAATGAAGTTTAAGTTTTAATAAAAAAATAGTCAGTCATGTGTTTACTTTTTTATTAACAGGCTAATTTGTTTTTTATGCTAAATAGTATTTTGTGTTTCTACAGATACTGGTTTTGGACCAACTACCAATGGTGAGAAACACATTCAGCATGATTCCAGGCTATTGGCTGCCACTGGTTCTGCTAGTGCACCTGTGACTATCCCAGCAAGCACTATTCAGAGGGAGGAAGACCATTTTCCTTCAGAACCGCCAATAGACTATCCCAAACTTCTTGGAGCTGTTCCCACCCCTGTAATCGTAGCACAAAAGATTTCAGACAAGAAAGCAGAAAATGTACATTTGTCCTCAATGTCACCCAAAGATGAGAGATCACCAGAACCAAAAAAGAGTATAGCCACTTCACCAATTGGTGACGGTCATTTTGTGTTTCCTGGTTCACCTACTAGTAAACTTAACAAATTTCCTAACAACATAAGTGTTAAACTTGCAGGGAAACAGTATAACAAAACTATCGCTAAGGCAGCTGTAAATGTACAAGAAAGAAAAGCTCAAGTCCTGGCCAATTTACATGGGCCAACATTGTTTTCGGAGGAAATTGATGGAAAAAACAGCGAACTCACTCGGAGGACAAGGACTCATTTCGGGATGTGTCCTCTGAGCAAGCAAGATATGAAGCATTGACTAAGCTTGGCTTGGTTAAAGAAATGCCAATTCAAGCTAACATGCAGTCTACTAGTGCATGCACTTCTCCTGTTTCAAATGATCAGCACTCACCAAAGTTTTTCCCTCCAGAAACCAGGAGGAGACTTTCAAACGAGAAAGTGATTGCTAATTCTCAACTCTCAACAAAGATCCCGACTCCAGAATTTAATACAAAGATTTCAAATGAACACCATGTTATCAATGGTCAGAACTCTTCGAAATTTTTCATTACACAAGCAAAAAGGGTACCGTCACTAGAGAAAGATAATATGAGTGGCCAGCGTTCCTCAAAGGTCTTGGCTGAAGAATCAAACAGGAGACTTTCAAATGAGCAAATAAGCACACATGTTCAACAATCAATAAAGATCCTGTCTCCAGAACCAAATAAAAGGTTTTCATGTGACCATGATTTTAACAATGGCTGGAATTCTGCAAAATATTTTACTACAGAAACAAAAAGGGTACCTTCAGTAGAGAAAGATAACATGAGTGGTCAGCATTTGCCAAAGGTCTTGGCTGAAAAATCAAACAGGAGACTTTCAAATGGACAAATAAGCACACATGTTCAACAATCAATAAAGATCCTGTCTCCAGAATCAAATAAAAGGTTTTCATGTGACCATGATTTTAACAATGGCTGGAACTCTTCAAAATATTTCACTGCAGAAACAAAAAGGATACCTTCAGTGGAGAAAGATAACATGAGTGATCCGCATTTGCCCAAGGGCATGGCTGAAGAATCAAACAGGAGGCTTTCATATGATCAAGAGAGTATCAGCAGAATTTTGAGCAGTGAACCAAGTCCCTTTATTCCTTTGGGGAAAACTGTTGTTATTAAAGGCGAAACAGCAGCTTCATCTCTTGATAAAAGTAAGCGTCACAGTACTGTGCTGGTTAATCATGAGCAAAAACAACCAGAAATGAAGAGAACACTTTCAGTGCCAAGACCTACTGGTTTTAGATCTCAGGGGATTACTGTACAGTTCTCTGGACGTGACTCTTCTGATGAATCTAGGAAAGATGCATTGAGAAAGCTTGGCCTACTCAAAGGACAGTCTGGACAGTGAATTTATATTATGTTTCCATATGGTGGACATAGCTGAAATTTATATGTGAAGTGCACATAATGCACAAACTATAGACTGGTAGCCTCTGAAGGAAATTGTTAATGTGTACAGCACAGTTATACACATTTATGTAAGATGTTATTACCATTACACCAAAGAATTTTTAAAAATGTCAATAGAATATAATTCTACTTAAAGTTTATAAGTCTGACCTTGTAACCTTTTTATGTATATTTCTTTAGTAAGTGACAGAAAACAGGATTTGGTATCTATTATATATTACATTAGCCAAATCTAAAACTAAATATAGTAAGTCTCCTACATAAGAACGAGTTCTGTTCCATGAGCACGTTTATAAGTCCAATCTGTCTGTAAGTCCAGCAAAGTTAGCCTAGGTACCCAACCAACACAATCTTCCCAATAAATTACTGTAATAGGTTTATAACACATCATTTGTCAAACAAATAATACATGGGGAAAAAGGTTGAAATAAAAATACAGTTCTGTATACAGTAAAGTACACAGAATCACAACTACTTGTAGAGAATGCATGCATAAGAATATTCGCCAGAAATGTGAACTAACTCACATGATTGGACATGCAAATGCATGTTCTTATCTTTGAACATTCGTATGTAAGGAACTAACGGTACAGACTATATTCTACATTTGGCTGTATTCATCTACATCTGTGTTAAGCAGGCTACATAGAGGGATTTGTATTGGTCAGTTCATCAAAATTTCTCAACCACTTTTTAATAGATGAGTTGAGCCTACTAGTGTTGAACTGACGAATCATATGGCTTAAAAATGCTATTCAACTACCATAGTGCAATATATTCTCTTCTCTTTTTTATTCATTATGCCCTGAGCATACAATAAGCTGCTTCTCAGACTACACAGTCTGTTTTTACACCTGGTCCCAAAAAGAGAGATGAGAGTGTGGGCTCCCTGAGCCCTCTTGTAAAATTTACCAAAATTGTTTACAGCCTCCTAAGATTCTTTGTATATTTATATTAACCTATTTATCTATATACACAACATTATATTTGTTTTCTATATGTTAAAGATAGCAAAAAGTGGTAACAAGCAAGACGTGGGTTTGCATATTTATATGTCGAGGCTACTTACTACTCCCAGTAGGAAGTCCAACATGGAGTATATGAGCACATGACCTAAACAGGTGAATAAGGATCCAAGGATTAACTGGAAATACACATAAATCTACAGGGATGCACTACCTGTAGGGAACTATGAGCACACATCACTGTGATGAACAGACAAATGGAAATGCATGGCTCTCGCAGCCTTCTGTAATACTTTATTTAGTTAAGGGCCATTGAGAGAGCTTGTTGTACACCTTAAATGACTGTTAATGAGCCTCTTCTGTCACCTTTTAGCCCTGCTTCACACTGCTGTGACTTGTAACGCATAAAGTAAGAAATATGTCATCAGGACACCAAGAATTCTCCAAACAGGTCCAAAGCTTTATTCAGCAGCCACATCATATGATCTAACTGCTGAATAAAGCTTTAGACCCATTTGGAGAATCCTTGGCGTGCTGGTGACATATTTCCTACTTTAAATGTATACGGTTTCCAGCCGGTTGTCACTGCAGCACCCATTGACACCTAACAGCTATTTCCAGGAATGTATGCATTGGGAATACTATGATTTATACTTGTTGTGACACATAGTCACATAACAAGTCAAAAAACATTCATTTCAATGGGTGACGGCTTAAACAATGCAACTCAAGTCGCAGCAACAAAAAAGGTTCCTGCACTACTTTTCTGTGACTTTAAATGCGAGTGCCATAGACTGCAAAGTTAAATCACAAAAGTCGCAAGCAAGTCGCTCGACACTGAGCTATAGTCTTTCGACATTAAAGACTAAAGTGTTTCAGAAGACTGAGTGCCCCACGTTTCTTAGAATTCATTAGCTGGACTGGTTTTTACTCCCGCCTAGAGTTGTCTTCATATATCTGTTGTGGAATATAAATATAAAGTGTTTCAGAAGACTGTGAGTGCTCCAAATTTCTTAGAACACAATAGCTGTACTGTTTTTTTACTCCCAGCCTAGGGTTTTCTTCACATATCTGCTGTGGAATATACAGTGTCAAATCTACTGCAGATACTGATACCTTGCCATTGATTTAAAGCAGATAGCGAGGCCTTGGGACACTTATGACATTTAATCCTTTCTTCAGAAAACATACACAGTGTATATAATATCATGGTTCTAATACATCCAGAGTAGAATATTAAATACATTGTTGTTCTCTCCGATCAGCTGTGCATGTATGTACATGTCTGCTCTTGCTTTGCTATAATCAACTAAATCTCCTTTGGTGTTTCACACGCTTTCCTCTTTGAACACGATGATCACTATAAAGGAAGCTTTTTTTGTAATTAAAGCTTTCACCTTTCCTTTTAAAACCATGAATTCAAAAGATGTGTTCTTAGACTCCTTATAATAAGACTTCATCTTAATTAGCATCAGCCTTTGATGGGGGGGTTACAAGGAGAGTTCATGTTGTGCTAATTTTGGTAACATTGTTCTTTCTTTTTTTCCCCTGTAACCAATCGTAAAACACTGAATGAGAATAATACTAACAACAACATAAAATACTCATTTATGTTATCTGACTTAAAGGAGAACTTGGTTATAAATAAAAAAGCAAGAAGGTGAATGGGAACTGGGGATTAAATCCTGCCTCTGTGATATGAGTCCTTAGATCTATGCATCTGAAAGATCCTAGGCTGGGCACTTTTCCGTCAGATCCTACAGCAGCGACAATCAGCTCTTTATCCTGTGTTCCAGAAGATTTAGCTGGGATGTCTATGGAGTAATCTTACCTCTGGAACCTAACCTGGGGGGAGCAGTGCTTCACATATTGAAGTACACCTGTCCCCAGACTATAGACTTTAAACTATTTACATATTATTTAAACCAAGCCATCACTGACCTTTGTAGCTGCATGAACTGTGAAGTAAATCATTCTAAAAGATCCTCCATGAAGACTCTGTAGTTGGGTTTCACTTGGTTTCTATAGACTGATTTGCACCAGCCCTGGCCGCTGCACTTTGTTAGATGCAAACACATTGAATTGGGACAGCTCATTTATTTCAATGGATGCATAATGAACCACATCAGACAAAACATAGTTTATACAGCATTTCCATCAGTGCCTTGGTGTGAACAATTTCTACCTGCTGGCAGACTGTCAAGACCTGCTCTTATGAAAAATGCATTTCTGTGCCTTTTTCAAGAACTAAATTCATAACAATACCTAAAGCTACAGAGGAGAATGAGGGCTTGTTTTAAATTGCTTTTTATGCTTGTTTACAATATGTAAACATAAAGTGCATAGTCTGGGCACAGGTTAACTTTAATCTGGAGTTTTTTCAGGAAAAAGGTATAGAGGTTGTTGGATTATGGGAAATGAAGCTGCTGCCCATGTTATTCAACTTTCCAAATGCCATCTTGTTGCCACAGACAGATTTTAGTTTTCCATATGTGAGTCCAACAGAATTGAAATTTCATGTATCCATCCAGGTATATATTCCTTCTGCTACATTTTGTATAAAGCATTACAATATTTGCATTGCAATGAAATATATATTAAGATTGTGACAAACCTTTTTTTTAAATTGAACATCTGTACATTACTTTATTCATTTATCAAAAGAATCTATATAATGTAGCTATTATTTTTAATGTTATCATCATCTTTAACTGATCTCTAACTGGTAGCAAAGTGCTGGATATCTTTTGTTATTTCTAGTTTTTTTGCTCTTTGCATATCTAATTAGAGTTTTTTTATTTTTATACAATGAACTCTTAAATCTTAATATCAATAGCAGTATGCACCAGTGTACACAGAATTTGTATATTATGATTTTCCAAATGGCCTAGTAACTGGATGTGCACAGCTACTATTCCAAATGTTTGGTTGGTATAGCCATGAACATTTTTTTGCTGTATGCCATTTCATTTTAGAGTTGTATGAAATATATATGGTATTGCTGTTACATCAATGATCTTTGTTTCTTTTAATAAATTCTTTTGTCTTCTTACTGTATGAGTCTCTGGTTTCTGTTATTTAAACATTCATTGCATGTTCTTGAGTTGTTGTGTACATGTGACAGGCAAAACAATTTTGATAGCATCAAGAAATGAAATGTCACAGGATGTAGTGTGCAGTAGCAGTCTTTGAACTCTATGTCCCTACCAGAGTGACAATAGCTAGGAGATCATTTAGCTCCCAACTGTCTGTCATTTGGAACCAAAGACCTCTTTTTGGTCGAAGTATTGATCTCTATAAAATGCACTATTTAACTATTACGCTACTAAACCTACAACAGTAAAATCTGTCCGTATATGCAGTAGAGCATGCTTGTTATAGTCACTGTGGAACCTAAGGGGTTAATCCTCCACATTGTGTAAAAAGTATATTTGATTCTGTCTTTGATCCTCACCTTCTTCCAGTGTCTCCTAAATATCTCCTGATAGAGCAGAGGCTTGGGGACAAGCTGCACGTGCTCAGTTTGGTGTGTATTGCTAGAAAGCTTTTATTTTTCTTAGGAGAGTGCATGTGATCTATCAGCACTTTCCAGACAGAGTTCAGGGGTCCTTCATACTCCTACAAGAGAATGACAACTCCTACAAGCTGTGACCAGTGCTCTGCTGAACACTGATAGAAGTCACAAGACTGTTCTAAATGCTGATGAGAAAAGGTGTGTAGCAGTTTATATTTACTAAAATAATTGGATTTCTATGTATTGTGGGAGACCAGATATAGTGAATTCAGGGTCCTGGGTTTAGTAACACTATCAAGGTGCTTTATTTTATTTCCTTTCATCCACCCTGTACATCAGTGTTTTTTTATCCAAATTGGGTTGAAGACATGTTTGGGATGGGTTGCCACTTGCCTTTGTGTCCAAGATTGTAAATTAAAGAGACACAGTACTGTTTCAAAATGTATAGTTATTGGTAAT